CCCCTGCCTGTGCCTGACCCCATCCCCCACCCCAGCCCTCACTTCTCCAAGCTCCCAGGAACAAAGGCGCCTGGTGAGCTGGGAGCCGCCGTGGTAACTAACAGGTACCCCGGCTGTCGACTGGGCCAAGCGGAGGCTGAGGCATGCACCCCCTGCCAGGCTCCCCAAGTGTCCAGGCCGCCTGGCCTGCTGCCCCCCTGCTGTCCCCAGGACTCCCAGCCTCCGGCCCCCTCGGCTCTGGGAGGCCAGCAGGCCCAGGCAGGGCCCCGCAGCCCACTGCCTGCACCCCTGTGGTGCCAGCCGCCCACACCCCACAGGCAGGCCGGGGCAGGCCCCACAGCTGGGGTTCCTGGGCAGCGAGGGGTCAGCTCAGCCCCAGAAGCCGTGGGGACAGCTTGCACCCACAGCCTGCTGGCCACGCCAGGCCCCAGGCAGCAGCTGCATCAAGGCCTCCACCAGGAAGAAATGGAGTGGGCGAGGGACTGCCCCCAGGCAGCTCAGAGGGCTTGGGTGGGGGGAGGCAGGGCTCAGGGCGAGGAGCCGCGGGGCTGAGAGGCCTGGGCCATCCTTGGTCCTGGAAGGCGAGCCCCCACCCCAGCGGTCTCCCCCACAGCCCGAAGGGAACCTCACCAGGGAAGCGGGCGGGGTGCCTGCAGCCTTGCCTTGGGCCCACCCCCGGCTCTCCCCTGGGAAGGCAGCCGGCACCCAGCAGCCGCCAGGTGACACAGGAGAGATGCTAGAGAACAGACGCTGCCCTCCGCCTTCTCTCCTGGGCCTGGGTCCCCCGCCCCCAGAACACTCGAGCACCCCTGTCCTCCGAGGCCATGGGGAGGGCCTCCCGGTTCCGGCCACCTCCCCCTGGCTCCCAGGCCCCAGCACCAGGGGCCGGACCCGCGCCCGTGGCCTCTGTCTATGGCAGCTGTGGGGGCGGGGCGCGGTTTCTGCCCACTAGCAGTGTCGTCCCCCTAGCCCAGAGGGCCAGAGCTCCCTCGGGGCACACCCCGGGCAGCACAGGCTCTGCCCCGCCCTCCCGGGGCCCCAGGCGGCTCAGGACCTGCGCCACCAGGGAGGGCACTGCCCCGCCAGTAGGGGTGGCGCACACCTGACCCCGCGGCTGCACACTGGACAAGCCCTTGCCCACCCGTCTCCACTGCCAGGAAGCCCACGTGCCGCTGACACCGCACAGGCGGTCCTGGCTGAGACTGGACCCGGGCCCAGCCCCCGCCCCACGGGGCTCCGCGCTGGGACGGGGCACGGAGCAGCGCTCCAGGGGCCGTGTCAAGGAGGAGCCCTGGGAGCTGAGCCCGCAGCAGGGCCATTCTCTTCCTGCCCGCAGAGGGGCCCTGAAGCCTGCCAGCCCTCGGGAACAAGGGCCAGAGCCCAAGGGGGCCCGGAAGGGCAGGCACCCGGAGCCCAGAGCCCTGCCTGCCTGGCTGGCCAGGCACAGGCGCCACCTTCCCGCGGTGGGGCTCAGTGGCCTCCTGTGCTGACACAGGCCCCAGCGCTATCCCTGCCTCTCCTGTCTGCCTCACTGTCCCCTTGGCAGCAGACACACACCGGACGCCATGCCCAGACAGGAAGGTGGCCGGGGACCCCTTCCCGGGCCCCTGCAGCAGGCGGGGCGGTATCAGCACCTGGGGGTGTGGGGGTGCACAGCCTCCTGTCCTGCCCTGCCCCTCCCTGGCCTCCTGGGCCCTGCTCTGTTTTCCATTTTAGAAACTGCTTCTGACGATTAAATATTTATCCTAGCGAGGCAGGCCTTGGCCGTGGCTGCTCTGTGGCTTCCAAAAACAGAAAAACCAAGAGAAACCTGGAGGCAGAGCCGAGACACCCCGGGGCTCACCCTCGAGGCTCACGGTTTGACCAGGGTCCTGGCTGCCTTGAGGGGTGGGGAGCAGAGGAGGCCAGGGGAGCCAGCAGGGCTCCCCGCGTGCCCCCGCTGGCACACACCCACCCATGCAGCTCCGCAGGCACGCTGCACGCTCTGCATCAGGCTGCCTCTTCCTCCAGGAAGCCCTCCATTACGCCTCTGCCCCTGAGGCTGCACGCATCACACAGTGCCTGAATGGCACCGGCTGAGCGAACCCTGGCACACACGGGCTCTAGGGGGCGCCAGACCCAGATGGACAGATGGACAGGCAGGCGGACTGGCAGGCGTCCTCACACCTCACACCCCCCTTGTGCACAGAAGAACAAGTTGGGGAGACCCTGGCTCCCCACATCTAGAGGGAAAGGGGCCCCACAGCCTGTGTCCAGCCCCACCAGAGTCAGGGGCTCTCTGCCCGGCACCCACACTTTCCCACCCCCTAGACAGGTCAGGCAGAGCCTGGGACACAGGGTATAGACCTGAGGGGCAATGGGGGCAAACACAGCAACCCAGGGCTTCCTGGAGGAGGCAGCGCCCAGCTGGGCACAGGAGGGAAGGGCTGGCCTGAAAGGAAGCGGGGTGGCTTCCGTGCCACGGGCCTGACACTGGACACACAGCTGCCTGGGCCCCACCGGCTCAGCCCTCCTGTCCTCCCGGCCCCGTCAGCCCTCCCCTCCTGTCCTCCCGGCCCACACCGGCCCTCCCCTCCTACCTCCCGGCCCCGCCGGCTCGGCCCTCCCCTCCTACCTCCCGGCCCCGCCGGCTCGACCCTCCCCTCCTGTCCTCCCGGCCCCGCCGGCTCAGCCCTCCCCGGCCCACGCCACCCTCTGCTGGAGCGGCACCAGGTGGGCAAAGCCGGGGTCCAAGAAGCAGCCTAGCTCGTGCACCCCCGGGGGCCACGCAGGTGCCATCGCCAGCCGTGGCTTCTGAGACTGCCTCACTGGGGCCCGGGGAGGCAGGACGCCTCTGCTGCTCCTCCCGGCCCGCGGCACTGCTGGCTGCACAGGTAGCTGGCTGCACAGGTAGCCAGCACCTGTCACCTGACAGCCCAGACAAGCTCCACCGTGGCCAGGGCTCTGCTCCCTCCTGCATCTGCAGAATGGGGACACGGCCCCGGGGAGCCGCCTGCATGGGTGGGCACGCTGGTGCCAGCCTTCGGCCTCCCTGGCTGCATGGCCGTGACTCGGCAGCCGGGGTCACTCCTGCTCATGCAGCTCCGCAGCCCCAGGGCCACGCGGAGGCTGCCTCAGCCATGCTGGGCCCCTCCCCCTACAGAGACCGTGCGATGTCCCCTGGGGTCTCCCTGGCCCAGAGGGGGATTTCTTTGGGTGTAGTTGGGGGCGGCGCTCTGGCCGAGCCAGGGGGTTGCAGTGCAAGATGGGGAAGGACAGGGCTGGAGGGGGGCGGTCCCTGCCACTTAGAGAGCCCAGAACCCAGCTCTGCCTCCCCGGGACCTGGGGACACAGCCCAAGGGGTGAACTTGGTGCTGCTACAGCCGGGAGCCCTGGGTGGAGCTGGTGCACCGGGCACAGCTGCCTTCCCACACTCAGCGCTGGTCTGGACTTCACCAGGGGAGAGAGGCAGTGAGGTGGGCGGCTCCCAGGGCAGCGTGCCCGCAGTGCAGCCACCAGGGGGCAGCACCAGCACGTGGGTCAGATCCCCGAGTTGGGCAGCGGGCACAGGGGAACAGCCCAGCTCGTGCACCCCCGGGGTCCACGCGGGTGCCATCGCCAGCCGTGGCTTCCGAGACTCTGCCTCGAGAGGGGGCGTCAGGGGACCCGGTGAGGCTGGTGGGACCAGGCGGGGAGATGGGAGCACGGGAGGGCCTGCCTATCTCTGGTCTGCTGGGGGCGACCCATTCCTTGTCAGGAATGCCTGTTCCCAGGCCGTGGGGACAGTGGGGAGGGTCAGGGAATCAGACAGCTGTGGAGAGCTCCGGGGCTGTGAACCCACTGGGGTCCTCCAGGAGGCCCCACTCCCTGAGAGCACAGCACAGGGGCTGCCCCAGAGGGGCTCCGTGAAGCCAGGGCAGGACACCAGGCTCAGCCTCTCCGGAGGCAGGAGGACGGGCAGGATGGAGGCACCCAAAGCCGGGGGTCTCCGGCACCTGGGAGTGAGGGAGACGCCATGCACGGAGCTGGCTGCTGGGGACCCCTTTCCTGGAGATGCTGGGGACCCCGAGGAAAGCAGGCCCGGGGCCATCATTCTGCCACCTTCAGGGCGTGTCCGTGGCCTCGGCGCCCTCTGGGCTGGGGAGACCCAAGCAGGAGGTCTCCTGGGACTCTGAGCAGTGCTGGGAGGGGCCCAGCCCTTCAGGCCAATCTTGTACCCCAGCCTCGGTTGGACAAGATGGACCCGAGGGGGGGAGGAAGTCCTGCGGGCTGCAGGGCCACGTCCAGACCGAGCCCCTGTAGACATGGGCGGTGGCCGCAGCAGCAGTGACCTGCGCCCAGGACTGCAGTGCAGCCCAGCCCCTCGCCATGCTGGCCAGGTGCCCTGGGTGTGGCCTGGCTGCTGCACAACTGCCCGCCCCAGGGTCCACTCTGCAGCCAGGGGCTCAAAAAAGGGCACTGACCACCCTGAGAGTCACCCCCATGGACAACCCCTGCCTGACCTCACCCAGTGCTGGCCAACCCTATGGCCTGGTCTCTGGCCCCACTCGGGCGCTTTGCCAAGCCTAGCTCTGCCGCAGCCAGCCCCAAACCAGTGACCCCACCACACACCACACAGCAGCCCTAACTCCTGGTCCGGCCAGGCTGCTGTCCCCAAAACAGCCCAGCGGTCAAGCCTGGCAGCCGGTCCCCAGGGTCCTCGTGGTCCATGGCCCTTGTTCCCACCCAACCACGCAGCCTGCTCCCAGCAGGCAGCCACCTGTCAGGACCACAGCAGGGGACAGCGACGGGGGGGGGCGGGTGGAGAGCCAGAGCGGGTGACAGAGACCACCCCGCAGCGACCAGGAGACAAGCAAAGCAGCAGGGACAGGGACAGGACGAGAGCAGCGGGAGGCAGGGATGGGGATGGGGAGCCCGCAGCGGGGAGGGAGGCAGGGAGAGCAGCGCGGGCCGCGGGTCCCCATGCGGCCGCCCTGGCGGGCCCACCCGCCCCGGAGCGGGCTGCAGGCAGGGAGGCGCACCGCTGCCGGGGGCCCCGGGCCAGGGCAGCACGGCGTGGAAGCAGTCGCACATCTCGGCGTTGGCGCCGCGACCCGGCGCGTCCAGAAGCTGTCCAGGCTCCGGCGCGCCCCGCGCTGTCTCTGCTGTCCGCGCTGCAGCCGCTGAACACTGCGGACCGGCCGCGCCCGCCGGACCGCCCGGCCCAGGCAGCCCATTGGCTGCCGCCTGCAGCCAGCCCCGCCCAGACCTCGCTTGGCGCCTCCCCCACCAGGCCCGGGTGGACCTGAGCCGCGCCAGGGAGGGCCCAGCCCCCGCACCGGCTCCCGGCCCTGCGCTGCTTCGCTGCCCCCTCCACTGGCGGGCGTGGGGCTCCCTGGGTGGGGCGGGACAGAACTGGGGGCATAGGTGGGGCCGGAGCTCCTAGTGCCCAAGGATGCCCTGGGCAGGGTGGCTGGACAGGTTGTGAGGTGGGGACTGGCACCGGGACGTCCAGCCCGTCCTTCCCACCCATTCACGCCAGGAGCCTGGGGGCTGGGGCGCTGTGGCCAGGACCCCACTGTGCGTGCCCGGGGCTGTGAAGGCGGAGCCTGCAAAGATGGGGTGAGGGGTGACCCGGGCACGGTGCAGAGGGCAGGCCAGGGGGCTGGGGCCCTGGGGGCAGGGCTGAGAGGCTGCAGGCTGGACTCCAAGCTGGCCGTGGGGGCAGGGGGGACAGCTGGACCAGGGCAGTGAGGTGTGGAGGGAATTGAAGGGTCCCAGAATATTCCAGAAGCTGGTGGGGGCATGGGGTGAGGCCTGCAGGATGGGGCATGTGGAGCCCCGTGCACAGATATACACACTCACAGACACACACACGCATTCACAAAGCCTCACAGAGAGACACACACACTCAGACACACACGCATTCACAGAGACAGACACTGAGACACACAGAGATGCACACACACACGCATTCAGAGACTCACAGAGACTCACATACACTCAGACACACGCATTCAGAGACTCACAGAGACACAGAGACGCACAGAGACACTGAGACGCACAGAGACGCTTGCACTCACACACAGACACACGTTCACAGAGACTCAGACACACTGAGACACACAGAGACGCACACACACACGCATTCACAGACTCACACAGACACACACACAAATTCACAGACTCACACACACTCAGACACACACGCAGAGACTCACAGAGACACTGAGATGCACAGAGACGCACACACACACGCATTCACAGACTCACACAGACACTGAGGTACACAGAGATGCACACACACAGACACACCTGCAAGGTCACGCACATGCACGCAGCCCCACAGGCACACATGCGCACGGCAGGGCGCACACACAGGGCGGGGAGCAGGCACGGGGCTCGGGGGACCAGCCATGGATGGCCGCCACTGGGCAGCTCCCGTCCGGCGCTGCGGCACCAGGCAGCCGGCCAACTGCAGGTCAGGCGGACGGGAGCACTGCCGGGAAGAGGCCCCGGCAGCCCCGCCCACAGCACCGCGGGCACAGCCCTGCCTCTCAGGTGGGCACACTGCCCTGCGCAGGGCCCGGGCGTGTCCGTGCGTCTGTTCCAGCCTGCCCAGCTCAGCCGCCGTGCGCCGGGGAGTCTGGCCGTGGGAGCCCATGGGGTGGTCTTGTGGACTCGGGGGCCTTACAGCACAGATCTGCCTGCCCTGCCCCCTGCCGCAGCCCCCTGGGCCATGTCCAGAGGAAGTGCCCCCACGCCCTGTGACGCATCCTGGCTCTGGCCAGGGGTGGGGTGGCAGGAGCTGGACGGGGAGGAGGGGCTGCCTCCCAGAGCCACTGGGGGCTCCCTGAGTGCCCCCCGCCCTCTGTCCCCTCCGGGCCGTCCTGGTGGGTACTGAGCCTGAGCCCCCAGCCTGCAGTGGCCAGGACCCCCTGGAGCTCCATCTCCTAGGCCTGCCCACTGCCTTCCACGGGGCTCCCGCCCTTGGGCTCGGGGACAGCCCTGTCCCCCCAGCCGGGGAGTGGACTCCATCCCGTGCAGGCCCCTCCCCTGCCCACTCTGGGGCGTCCCCGGGCAGCCGTCCAGCTCTGCTCTGCCCCCAGTGCTTGGGCTGCAGCTTGGCGGGGACACCTGCAGCACGCGTGGGCCCCCCTCCTGCCTATCACCCCGGGCTGTGCAGCCCTGAGCAGCCGTCTCCCTGGGCCCCAGGAGGGGTGGAGGCCCTGGCCGAGTGCGGGCTGGGGCGCCCAGGGCATCAATGACGTATGCCCCCCAGCAGCCGCAGCAGTGCAAACTCCTCCCCTGTCCCTCCCTCCCGGCTCACACCGCGGTCGTGGGGGCAGCGGGGCCTCGGCACGGAGAGGGCGGGGCCTCTGAGAGCAGGACACTTGCCCAGCCAGGCGCCCCACCCTTGCGCAGCCGAGAGCCTGTTCCAGGACATAGGGCAGCGCGGGCGGTCAGCGGGCTGGTGGCATGCCACTCCAGGAGGTCTCTGTCCAGCACCCTGTGCCTCCCCTGCCCTGGGGGGACACGGCAGCCAGGGGTTAGGGTTAGGGTTAGGGTTAGGGTTAGGGTTAAGGTTAGGTTAGGGTTAGGGTTAGGGTTAGGTTAGAGTTAGGGTTAGGGTTAGGGTTAGGTTAGGGTTAGGGTTAGGGTTAGGGTTAGGTTAGGGTTAGGTTAGGGTTAGGGTTAGGTTAGGGTTAGGTTAGGGTTAGGTTAGGGTTAGGGTTAGGGTTAGGTTAGGGTTAGGTTAGGGTTAGGTTAGGGTTAGGGTTAGAGTTAGGGTTAGGGTTAGACCGTCACCCGGGACCCCGGGGGCCAGCACCCCTCCCCCGGCCAGTCCTTGCTGGTCAGTGATGCTCAGCGACTTGAGAGACCTGGGGGCCATGAAGGCTCCTCCTGACCACTGACCCCCTGTGTTGCTCATGGCCTGTGGGTGGCACCAGTTAGACCTGGGCAGCTGAGGCCTGGCGCTCAGCATGTGCCCCCGTGGCACCTGCCCAGAGGGCCACAACAGCCAGAGCTGGGCCAATCCAAAGCCGGGAGCTCCATCTGCGTCTGCTCCATGGGTGGCAGGGGTCCAAGTACCTGGGCCACCTCCCACCGCTTCCCCAGGGACTGGAACTGGTGCCCATATGGGATGCTGGCGTCACAGGTGCCATCCTAACCCGCTGTGCCACAGCACTGGCCCGGCCTTAGCTTGCTCCCGGTGGGAGAGTTGTGTTCACCCGCAAGTTTGCTGGTCTCCAGGGAGGAGGGCGTGCGCACCCTGGGGGGCTCGGCGGTACTGCAGTGACCCAGCCTTGGGCCTGCCCCCCCCCCCCACAGCGCTCCCTCCCTCTCCACGTCCAACCCTTGTTCTGATTCCCACTCGGGCCCAGGTCCCCCCTCCCCAACCAGAACCTTGAGGCTGGCAGGGCAGTGGCTGAGGGGGCCAAGCAGTGCGGATGGACAGCGGTGCGCCTGGGATGGGAGCGGCTGACGCCAGCGTGGGCAGGGCCTGCACAGCCGGGAGGCCAGCCAGCTCCAGCCCGGGACAGGCTGTCCATGGTCCAGGATGCAGTCATTCTAACACGGTTCAGTAGTGTCCTGCAGGACAGGGCCCGAGCAGGTCAGAGCACGGGGTCAGCTGGGGCTGTGTGGACCAGGGCTCCCCAGGGGCCCCACTACGGGAGGGCAGGGGGCAGGAGCCAGCTCACTCTGCAAGGCTGACCACAGGAGCCTGGGGGTGGGGCAGCCAGCCTGGGCTGGGAGCTGGCCCATCAGGACCCCTCACCTCGGGCAGGTGGCAGCAGGAAACCCCAAGTGGCCATGCCAGGGAGGGGACTGGGTGCTACACGGCCCAAGGGGCAGTCTGTCCTCACCCTCTCCTCCCTGCACAGGAGACAGGGCTGCCAGGGGCTGCGGGGTCTCAGGCCCCTGTCCTCCAGAGTGGACCGCCCAGCTGGGTGGGGCAGGGCTGGGGTCGTGTCACCTCCTCCAGGCGGGGTGGGGGTGTGGGGAATGCTCAGCATGGTGGGGGCAGGTCAAGCTGGCCACGCCCATGGCCACAACATACCACGCGGACACAACGAGGCGGCGTTCCTGGGCGATCGGGCCTCCGCAGTCGGCTGGGGAGGCAGCGCGGCGGCAAGAGCGGGTGCAGGGACCAGGGGACCCTAAAACCCTGGCACAGATGGAGTGTGCTGCCCAGGCCACCTTTCAGGCCCTCCCGTGGGAGAAGGCTGGGCCAGGGCCACTCCCCCGCCCTGGCTGACAGAGGTTCGCAGGCAACAGGATGCCACCGCCAGCCGCAGGCAGCCTGGGTGGCAGCAGGGGGCCCGGAGTGGCCGTGCCAGGGCAGGCACTGGGCACTACATGGTCAAGGGCAGTCTGTCCTCACACCCCCACAGCCCCACCCTGCACACGAGGCAGGGCTGGCAGGGGCTGGGTTGCGGGGTCCCAGGCCCCCGTCCGGAGGAGGATCTGCGCGGAGGGGTGAAGCTGTGTTCGGGACGGGACAGACAGCACGCCCGCCCCACGGGCGCCGACCCGTGCCAGCAGGCCCGTGGCCCCCGGTGTAGCAGAGCAGCACCTGGGGGCGACTTAAGGCTTTGGGGATTCCAGCCGGGTCTGAGGGCCCCCCCAGAGTGCAGAACTGGCCAGTTGCACCAGGTTGTGTCTGGCTGGGACTCCGAGGGTCCCCAATCCTGGGCTGCAGCAGGAGGCCCTGCGGCAGGTGGGTGGGCAGCCGCAGGGCAGGGCCTGGATGACCCCAGGCCCTGGCTGAAGCCGTGCTGAGCATGGGAAGGGCCAGGGCCACGCCACAGGCAACTCGTCCAGCAGACAGCATCGCTGGCCACCAGGCTGGTGCCGTGGGGACCCGGGCATGGGCTGCGGCTGCTGTCACGAGGACATGGCAGTCACCGTACAAGGCCGCCTGGCTCTTGGCCGCGCAGAGCAGCTGTGGTGCCCGACATGGAGCCAGAGGTCTGGGGCCCACAGGAGCGTGGGGCTTGGAGATGGCTTCTCACAGTCCACCCTTGAGGGCCTCCTGGGGGCCCTGCCCTCGTCCCCATCGCCTGTCCTCAAGGTCACACAGATGCACACAAACTTGGTGGAAAGTTTTAGGAAAACAAGACTGAGGTTGGCGCTGTGACACAGTGGCCAACGCCTCCACCTGAGGCGCCGGCACCCATACGGGCACAGG